TGGAATTTTTCTCGTGCAAAAGGGAAGTAAATGTTGTCCTTTAACTTGGGAAGCTAAAACTGTCAGAAGAGTAGCAAAAAGTATCTTCACAGCAAAGACTCTTATGGTCAGTGAGGAGGTAGATATTCCTAGGAAAGATCCTGGACGAAATTCCAAAAAGGGATTCAGCAGCAATACCCATTGAATACTACATTGATGACAATTCACTAAGGAATAACAATGAAATTGTGAAACAAAAAAAGGGAAGATTATATTGCAATTTTAAAACAGATCCTGGAGAATGGAAAGATCTCCAAATTTTAATTGGCAAAAATGAGAATATAATCAGTTGTCACTTTTGTTTTATTATTATAGATCTGAAGGAATACGTGAAACCTATTGAAACGAGGGAACGAGGGATTGAGTATAATTTAGATTTATAAATATGGGGGTGGGGGGTCAGTAATCAGTCCAGTTGTAGAGGGTGGGGGGGGGCTGGCAAACTGAAATTAAGCTCTCGCAAGATTTGAAAAGAGTTATCTTTTGGAGTATAACTCCTGGGCCCAGCCTCACAAACTTGACTTTCTGTCCCACCAACTTTCACCAACCTCACTTCCTCTGGCAGCTTTGCACTCTGCCAGCGCTCTCCGTCTCACTGCTTCTCTCCCACATTCACTGCTGATAGACTCACTGAGAAATGTGGGAGAGAAGCAGCCTGCAAATGGGCGAACCTCTCACCACACAAAAAAAAGGTTATCAAACAAGATTTCCCTTTTGTCAAAGCACAGTGACGTGCTCTAATCAGACTATCCTTTCCAAATGCATTAAGATTTCCTTAATAATAGATTCCAGCATTTTTCTTAAGTCAAGCCCTCTGATTGCAAGTTTCCTGTTCTCTCTCGTCCTGATTCCTTGAGTTGCCCCGTTCCATTTGCTAACTTCCAACCTGCTGACGCTGATCCAGACTCAAATTTGGAAAATCATGACCACAATTTATGCATTTGTATTACTGAAAATCCGAGAATGTTGACCATCAGGTTCTGAAAATATGACAGACTGGATGAGTAGTCTAGGATACCTAGCTAAAGTTCTAGGGATGTGGGTTCAGATGTCACGACGGTGAAATTTTGAATTCAACAGAAATCTGAAATTTCTTTTTTATAGTTGACAAATGGTGATTATGAATTGTCATAAAAATCCATCTGGTTCACTAATGCCCTTTAGGGAAGAAACTCTGCTATTTGTCTGCCCTACATGTGAATCCAGACCCTCTGCAATGTGGTTGATTCTTAACTAACCTCTGGAATGGCCGATGAAAACACTCAGTTCAAGGGCAACAAACGCTGACTGAGCCAGCAAGTCCTCCATCCCAGGAATGATTAGAAAATGTTCCTAACTTTCTCCAGAACTTACTTTCTGCTATTACTGCATTCAGTTTCTTCATTCTTATTCGTCCACTGACTTTTTCTGATCTTATAACTTCTACTGTGAAGACAGAGACATTGAGCGAATAATGTTCTATCATTTCCTTATGCTCGTAAATTATGCGGTCTTTCCCTCAAAAAGAAAGTGACATTTCCTGAGTGAGCCATAGATAGATCTGCTGAGATTGTTTTATAAGGTATTGTATTTTTTAAATTAAATAATCTTTCCAGCTGTTCACTTACTGTAACTAGACTAAGGATACGATATCAGTTTTAGTCAGTTCTCCCTTCAGAACAATATCATTGGGATCACATTTATGTCATTGCTCTTATATAGGAATGGAATATGCTTTGCATTGTGGCATTGTTCTACCTTTGTATTGTTTGTCACTGTGACCGATGAAATGTCTCACTGACCCCAGTACTACAAACTGCAAATGCTGAATAATGAAACTTGTGCTCAACATTCACTATCTGGCAAGAATCCATGGCTTCTGGTCAGAGGCTGTGCTAATCTAAGATGTTTATCTTTGCAACAGTTTAGTGAATTGACAGCAAGTAGCTTCTTAGTTTAGCCTCCCACTTGATTTGTCAGAACTCTGTGACAGAGTTCAGAGATACCAACTAAATAATATCTTATTAGTTGGTACTACTCTGCCTGAAAATAGAGTCACCTTTGTGAAAAAATGCTATCATACAAAAAAAATTGTAAAAGTGTAATGAAACAGAAAGTGATCTCAGTTCACGTTTGATGAGAGCCTCATACCAGATAACTGTTCTCACATTCACCTTCTCATCATTTCCTAAAGACCTTGTATATTTTAATTGATTGATTGCCATGTGTACTGAAGTACAGTGATAAGCTTTGTTTACAAGCAGCACAGGGAGATCATAGTAACCAAGGATGTACAGGTCAAAATAACTTAGAGAGGTAGAGATTATATTGCACAGGGTGTGCGCTAGGCAAGTTCAAAGTTAGCAGGATCATTATTTGAGATCAGAGAATACATTCATCAGTGTATTAACGGCCAAGAAGCTGTTCCTGAACCTGCTCGTGCGCTTGTTCAGGCCTCTGTATCTTCTGCCTGACAGAAGAGGTTGTAGGAGCTCATTACGGGGTGCAATGGGTCTTTGGTGATGTTGGCAAGCCTTCCGCAGCAGTGAGCCATGTAAATGGAGTCCAGGGATGGAAGGTTGGCTTCCATGATGGTCTGTGCTGTGCACACCACCTTCTGTAGTTTCTTACTGTCCTGGGCAGGGCATTTGTCATACCAGGCCATTATGCACCTGGACAGCGTGATTTCTGTAGAAATTGGAGAGAGTCCTTACGAACAAGCCAAATTTCCTGAGCCGCCTGAAGAAGAGGAGGCGTTGTTGTGCCTTCTTGCCTGTTGCATCATGATGGGCAGTCCAGGACAGGTTGTTGGTTATCGTCAGTCTGAGCAACTTGGAGCTCTCCACCCTCTCAACCTCAGTTCCATTGATGTAGATGGGGGCATGTTCCCCTCCTTTCTTTCTGAAGTCAATGATCAATTATTTAGTTTTCAGACTTTGAGAGAGAGAGAGGTTGTTTTCATTGCCCCATGTGTCTAAAACCACCTGTCTTACCTTGTCATGCTTGTCCAGGGTTTAAAGGATGAGTATTTTAAGCAGATTAAGTCCAAGACTTTTTTTTTTAAAACCTTTCCCAACTGTTTACCTTTGGAAGCCCTTAGATTCTTTCTGCCTCATTCTCACTGGAACTGTCAAAGTCCTGCACTGATAAATCGGTTGTTATTCTTCATTCAAAAATCCCCATTTCCCCCTAGATGGATCTTTCTCACCCTGTTGTTAACTTTAGATGTGGAATTGGAAAAGCACAGCAAGTCAGACAGCATCCGAGGAGCAAGAAAGTCAACCTCAACTGGAGTGCTGACGAAGGGTTTCAGCCCAAAACATTGAATCTCCTGCTGTCTGACCTGCTGTGCTTTTCCAATTCCAAATCTATTGACTCTGGCTTTCAGTACCTGCAGTCCTTACTGTCTCTGTTATCAACTTTGGTTGTAGATTCTGACTCGAGAGAAAATATGACAAATGGGGTGAACTAGAATTTCAATTTTGTCAAATCCCTAAGCTACTTACCTGGAAACCCTGCAAATACAGTTTAAACAAAACGGTTACAACTACTCCCTGTCTTACACACTGTCTGATCCCCAGGGGAGAGTAGGGCTCAACCCTTTTCTGCAGCAAGGCCGTAATGTTGGCAATCCTCCGGTCTCCTGGCACCTCCTCCACAATTTCTACTCTTACTTCACTCAAAATCCCTAGATGCATCTCATTTTGTCCTGACAACTCTAACTATCAACATCATTTGGACAGGTACATGGATAGGAAAGGGTTAAGAGGGACACAGGCTGAATGCAGCCAAATGGGACAGCACAATTTAGGAATTCTGATTAGCATGGACAGGTTAGGCTGAAGGGCCTGTTTCCATGCTGCATGATTTCTTTCTTAATCATTTTCACTGACTCTCCATCCCCAGGTCTCTCACACTTTTTAATGTGACTCATCCTCAGTCTATCTGCACATTAACAGTTTGTGGACTAATATCACAGGAAGGATTAAAAGTTGCCTTACTCTGCTCTAGTCAAAACCACATACAGAAAGAGCTCCTGGGATGAGGCATTCCACTCCAGGAAAATATGATTCATGAAACAGTCCCTCTTCTGCAAGTACACCAGCACTATGCCTCACTTCTTTCTCTGCTACATTGGTGATTGTATCGGTGTTGCCTCATGCTCCCATGAGGAGCTTGAACGGTTTATCAACATCACAAACACCTCCCACCCCAACCGCAAATTCACCTGGACCATTTCAGACACCTCCCTCCCCTTCCTGGGCCTCTCCAGAAACCAATTCACCACCAACATCCATGTCAAACCCACTGACTCCCACAACTACACCTCCTCTCACCCACCTCCTAAAAAAAAAACACAATCCCATACTCCCAATTCTTCTACCATTGCCACATCTGCTCCCGGGATGAGGCATTCCACTCCAGGACGTCCCAGATATTGTCCAACTTCAGTGATCATAGTTTTCCCTTCTCAGTGATTAGTGATGTCCTCAAACTGCATCCCCTCCATTTGCGCACCCCCAGCCTCATCCCATATGCCTCCCTGCTCACCAATTCACTCCACCCTTCCCACTGACCAATCACAATAATCACCTACCCTTCCCCCAGCCCAACCACATCCCTCTATTTATTTGAGCTCCGCTACCCCTCCCCAATTCTGACGAAGGGTTTCGGCCCGAAACATTGATTTTCCCACCCCTCTGATGCTTACTGACCACCTGTGCTTTTCCAACTCTACGTTTACTCGCTCTAACCACCGGCTATCCCGCAGTTCTGGTTTAAATATCGCGCGTGCACAAAGCCAGACTCCAAACGGCCCCACCCCGCCGGAGCTCGCGCAGAGTCAGTTTATCGGCCGCTTCTCGAGACTGCGCGTGCCCTCAGGGCGGGCCTTAGCTCACCGCCGAGCTTCGATTGGTCAGACAGTCTGTCAATCCCGTAGCTACGGCTAATAGGAGGCGAGGTCCCGCCCAGGGGACGACGTCTGGAGGTGAATGGGAACGAAGAGAGAAATCGCTGGAGAAACTCGGCAGCTTCTGTGGAGTTAAAGCAGAGGTAACATTTCAGATCCAGTGACCCTTCATCAGAACTGGTAGTAGCTAGGGAAAGGTGCAGATCGGGGGCTGAGGGCTGTTACTCCTGCAATAGTTGTGGATGGGGCCCAGAAAGAGAGAGAAGAGCAGACAGACAGACAAAGGGATGGATAATTGTGAGGCAGGGAGAAAGAAAAGCTGATCATGGGGCTACAGGTGAAAATGGGGTTGTCTGTGTCTGAAGCAGCCTCGTGTCATGACAAGGTCCCGGGCTGTAGGTAAAGGGACAAGGAACAAGGTGTTGAGGCTCAAAAATTGTTGAACCCGATATTGAGTCCTGAAGGCTGCAGGGTCCATAAGCGGAAAATGAGTTTGTGTTGTTCTTCCATTCCAGTTTGTGCTGAGCCTCGCTGAAAACCTGCAGCAGGCCCCGACCCAGAGACGTTGGGGCGAGGGAACACGGTGCTGTGTGGAAATGGCAGGAAACTGGGAAACCCGGGATCATTTCTACATAACGTAGGTATCCCGCAAAGTGGGTCGCCAGTCTGTCTCGTCTCCCCGGTGTGAGCAGTGAATACAGGAAACTCGATTGAGTGAAGGTGCAGATAAAGCGCTGCTTCATGCAGAAGGTGTGTCTGGGGCCTTTGATAGTGAGGAGGGAGGAGGTAAACGGGCAATCTGCGGTTGCATGGGAAGGTGCCAATAGGAGGTGCGTTGGGAATGTGGGAGGAGTGGACCAGTGTGTCCCAGAGAGAACAGTCCCTGCAGAATGCTGACAAGGGAAAGAAAGGAACTATGTGACTGGTGGTGCCATCCGACGAGAGGTGATGGAAATGGCAGATGATGATCCTTTAATGCAGATAGAAAGCATCCTATCAGGATGCAGCACAGTGTACAACTGCTCTTCCCGAGACTGCAAAAAGCTGCAGACAGTTGTGAACATTGCCCAGTCCATCACGCAAACCAGTCTTCCATCCATTCACTCCATCTATACCTCCTGATGCCTGGGAAAGCAGCCAACATAATCAAAGACCCCTCCCAACCCGGTTATACTCTCTTCCACCCTTTTCTGTCAGGCAGAAGATATAAATGTTAGCGTACACATGTATAGATTTCACTACAGCTTTGTCGCTGCTGTTATTAGACTTTTGAATAGACCTCTCAAATTTTAAATTTAATGTTGATCTTGCTCTTTGTGAATCTTTTCTCTGCAGCCTTAACATTGTATTCTTCAATCTGTTCTATTACCCTAATGTACTTTCTATGGTATGATCTGCCTGTACTGAGTCACCTGATGCTGGAATTGAACCCGAGTCCTGCGGCTCTGCAAGGCAGTAGTGCTAACCACTGAGCCACCATGCTGCCCTACAAAAGATAAGCAACTTCAGCAGTAACTGGAGGGAAAAAAAACATTCAATATTTCAAATTTGGTAACTCTTCATCAGAATGGCAAACACACTGCATGTTTTACAGGTATTTGATCATGCCTCAAAATCTAATGAGAGTATGGCCTCAGTCAAGTCGGTGGTAACATCCTTCAGTCAAGGTATACAATAAGTCCAGAGGAGTATCTGATAGCTGCCCAGCAGTTTGGATGTGGTCAGACAGCTGGCTGGTCAACAACAGTCAGGACAAGGGAATCACACCTCTTCAGTGCTAGGAGTTGGTGACTGTCAGCCCTCTGGGTCCAGGTGCAAACTCTCATGAGAACACATTTTGGGAACTCTGACCAGCTAAGTCTGTCAGGAGAATGGAGGCTGGTCTATCATGGGGCTCCATACACTAAAAGTCAAGAAGGGATGACCCGGGGCTACTGCTGCAGGAGGGAAACTGGGAATTTAATTGTGTGATTGGAGTCAGAAGGCAGGGGTCCAGAGGGAATTACAATACTGAAAGGGGACAACTCAATATATAAGGTGGGGAGATGATACAGAATGGAAAGAAATCATGTGAGGTGAGGAAAAAGAGGGAGGAGGTTACTGACTTAAATAACACCTGGCTTCCAGAGGGAGATAGTGCACTGCTAGATGTCGTGTTTTCTTCATATGCTTGGGGTTGTGGGATGGGGATGGGCTGGTCAAGTGGGCAAATGAAGACTTAGATAGACAGGTTAGGTGGCGACTTGGGGAAATGTCACCTGGCACGGATTTAACCAAGAAAAAGAGACTAAATCTGAGACTCGCTGCGTATAGCACATCAACCCTGACAAAGAAATTCCAACCACAATTGTACCCTTGTATTGATAGAGATTTTCTCATGACCTGACCATAAATGTTATGACACATCACTGAAACAATTGGGACTTGAAACCACACCACCTGGCTCAAAATTGGGGACACTACCACTGTGCCACAAGAGCCCTCCTTGTGTCAATATGTTAGCTCAATTGGCTGGACAGCTGGACTACTTGAGGTTCCCATGAAGGGTCTACCTTCTCAAACTAAACATTATTTTTAATTTCATAAATATACTTTATACATAAAATTTCTTTCTATACATACATAGTCACTAAAGCAGTTTGGTTCCGTCTAGTAGCATTTGAAGAAAACAGACAAACATTGGAGTTTGACTCTATCCAGATAACAAACCAAAGGCTTCTCTTACTTTGACAAGACTTTATTAACATACATAATTTTGAGGCACAGGGAGGGTCCAATAACTGAACAGACCCATATTTAACTTTAGCTGAAAGACATTAGACGGTAATCTTTTCCCACTGCACCTTGGCAGCAGCTGTCCCAAGCTTTAGTGTGTCCCTCAGCACGTAGTCCTGACCCTTGGAACTTTTTTTTTATTTAAAAAAATATACTTTATTCGTAGAAAATACAAAAAAATAAACACACTTTCACCTACCCGGTCATCCTAGCCGTCCCGGATTACCCTGGGGGTACGTACACCAACTAAAGGGAAAAAACAAAGGAAAAAAAAGAAAAACTCCGGTGGTCATCACTACCGTAGTCATAGTTGGCCCCCTGACCAGTTGGAGGAGGCGCCAGCTGGGCCCAGTTTCTGAACAGGGCCCTAATACGGTACGGCCGAGGGGTCTTACACGGTGGTCTTTCCCCACCGCGCCTTGGCGGCGGCTGCCCCAAGCTTTAGTGCATCCCTCAACACGTAGTCCTGAACCTTGGAGTGCGCCAGTCTGCAATAATGATGTTGGTGTAGAGCAGTCGGATCCAATTGCAGATTCAATCCCCAAAACCCATTTTGGATACCACATCTCACATGTAGGTATGCAATATCCTGTCAAAGGCTGATTAAGGCAGACATCCATCCCCTGTCCTGCACATAGGCGATCAAATCTGTAAGGAGCGCAAGGCTGTCAGAGAACAACAGAGGTTTGGTCGGGGTGAATCACTGATCCCAGAGCAGACTAGACCCAGTTGGTGATGATCTTAGACAGGATTTTGTAGTCTACATTCAACAGTGAGATTGGTCGCCAGTTTCTAATTTCCTCCCCCTCCGCTTGTAGATGAGGCTGATGATACCTTTCCTCATGGATTTATTCATGGTATCTGCCAGAAGCATACTGTTGTACACCTTTAGCAGGTCCTGGCCAATCAAATCCCACAGAGCTGAATTCAACTCGGCTGGTAATTTTATTCTTTTTGAAGGACTCAAAGGCCTTGGTCAGCTCATCCAGAGATAATGGCTGGTCTAGCCTCTCCCGCGTGCTGTTGTCTAAGACCTCTGTGATAGAGAATAGGAATGACAGGGAGGCCACACTGTCTGTGGGCTTCGTGTCATTCAGACTGACATGAAAGGATTTGCTTAACCTCAAGATGTCAAACTGGGGTGGCACAATGGCTCAGTGGTTCGCATTGCTGCCTCACAGCACCATGAACCTGGGTTTGATTCCACCCTTGGGCAACTCTATGTATGGAGTTTGCACATTCTTTCTGTGTCTGCATCGGTTTCCTCTGTGTGATCTGGTTTCCTCCCACACTCCAAATGTGTGGAGGTTGAGTAGATTGGACATACTAAATTGCCCACTGTGTCCAGAGATGTGTAGGTTAAATGAATTAGCCATGGGAAATGCAGGTTTACAGGGATGGGGTGGGTCTGGAGGGATGCTCATCGGAGAATTGATGTAGACCCAATAGGCTGAATGGCCGGTTTCCACTCTGTAGGGATCCTATGATTCTATGAGCTGACATTACTGAGCCATCTTCTTCCTTCAGGCTGTTGAGTACAGAGTTCTCCTTGTGCACCTTCTGGAAGAAGAAATGTGGGCACGTCTCATCCTGCTCCTCTGTGCGGAACCTGGACCGGAAGATTATCTTGGAGACCTCTGAAGCAAAGAACGACACTTGCTGGCTCATTACGTCCTGAAGATCATCCATGACATTGACCCCATTGTCTGCAGCCGGACTAGGTTCTGCATACTTTTCTGGAGTTTGGGCAGTCTTCTCTTTCACCTTTTGAATACCTTTGAGGATAAAGAATCTCTTGATGTTCCACTTGACTGGTTCCCAGCAGTCCACTGGAAACTCGAAGCAGGGCTTCATGGCTCTTCAGCCTGTGTAATCTCTTCCAAGCTCCCTTATGTTTTCAGAGGTCAATAGTTTCACATTCAGCTTTCACGTTCCATTGCCGGCACACTGGTCGTCTTGTAGGTGACAATCGGCCAGCAGGTGGTAGTTGTCAGAGAACAACGGCTTGACATCAGTGGATCTGACTGAGAATGTGCGGGATGCAAACAGGAAATCTGTCCTTGAACAGATAGTCCCATTTGGCCACAAACCGGTGTATCAACACTGCGCTCCATTTTCAGGGGTATTGAAGACGTCATACATCTTGGTGACTTTAACTGTTTCTATCAGGAATCTGGACGTTGGGTCCGTTTTGCTGTCAGTCCTTCCGCATTGTGGAACACTTGTATGTTGAGACTGTTTAATTTAGGCTGAGTAGTAATGAGTTTAAATAATACAGGACTAGGAGTACGAAGGAGGGAAACTTTAGCTTTATGAAACGGTACACATTGCTGTAACTGCAACCTGCCTTTCCCTCATCTAAGAAGACACGTAGGATAGATAGCAAAAAGCTAGGGCTCGCAGCATCTGTACACTCTTATCTTCACTGCATTCTGCTTCAATTAATGTATGTCTGGTTGCCAAAGTATTAACCTTGCCTTGCTAAAACACAGTGCAATTCCAGTTTGTTTTAACCTGTTTGTACCACTGTATAAATTCTGCTTCTTTTTTGTGGTTGTCGGAGTCTTTGGACCTGACCTTTTGTCAGCGTTGACGCTCCATGATATCATGAATAAAATCTCTTTGCCTCGAAGTCTGGGCCTTTGGTGTGTGATTTAATCTCGTCTCTTCGACACACGGGTACAGGAAGAAGCCTTCCAGGACCTGAGAAAAGCAATTTGTTTCGCACCAGCATTGGGGATCCCTAATAATGGAAAACCCTTCACATTGTTTGTGCATGAGATGGAGGGATACATGATGGCAGTACTGGCCCAGGAACGCGAAGACCTGTCAGATACTAATCACGGAAATTGGGCAGTGTAGCCCTCAGGTTGGGGAGCTGTTTGAGAGCAGTACAAGCTACATATATGGCGGTGGAAGTCACTATGAGTCTGGTACTGGACCAGAAATTAATTGTTAAATGACTGCATTCTGTACACACTTTGCTGGCTCTGAACAGAGTATCCCAGGTGATTGCTGTTTGGTGGACCCGTTCGACAGCAATCCAAGAAGCCCCTAACCTACATATAATTTATGCAAGCCCAGTCAATCCAGCCACACGATTGCCTTTACCAACAGAAGAGGAAAACAACTACGACTGCACTGGCATCATGCAGGAATTGGAGGACAATAACCGAATGATGGATGAGGCTTTACAAAACCCAGACCTCATCTTTTATACTGACGGATCTTTGTTTGTGGAGAAGGGTATAAGGAAAGCCGGATGGGCTGTCACAACACTCCACACTCTCATAACATCAGGTAGTCTACACACCCTGCCTGTGGCACATCAGCACGGCAAGCAGAGTTACAGGGCCTAACTGAAACCTGCAGAGCAGCAGAGGATCAATCTGCCAACATCCACACAGACTCATACTGTGCTTTTGGAGTTGCCCACAACTTTGGCCAATAATGGAAGCAGCGTGGATTCCTGACTGCTGCAGGTACCCCCATCAGGAACAGGACTGAATCAAGGACCTGCTGGAGGCTCTCCAGCTACTTTAAGAAGTTGCTAAATTAAAATATAAAGCACATACCAAGGACAGCACTGTGGAAGCCCAGGGCAATGCCCTGTCAGATCAGGCAGCCAAAAAAGCTGCCTCCAATCACTGTTGTCACTAGCCCTAAGCGCATGTCTGCTGCCTCGACACTGGCACAACGAATCAAGATCTGCAAATAATGCAGAGTGAGTGTTCCTGAAAGGAAAAATGTGAATGGATTGAAAATGGGCACAGGTTATGTGAAGACGGAATTTGGAGGCACGAGGAGTCAAACCGACCAATTGCACCCACTGCCCTGAGGCCATATCTGGCGCAACAAATCCACTCCTGGGGACATTTGGGGCCGGAACAGCAAACAGCCCGGTTCCAGAAGCAGCTGGTGGGGATGAGGCTTTAAAAAATATGTTCAGACCATAGTGGACCGCTGCCTCACTTTCCAGAGAAACAACCCGGGGACCAGAGTGCAAGTCCCCTAACTGAAAGCACTACCTCCAGGGCTGTTCCAGCACTTATAGGTTGATTTATTTCTCACTGCCACACTGTCAAGGATATTTGGACGTCTTGGTAATTGTAGATGGGTTTTCTAGATGGGTAGAAGCTGCACCCACGAGAAAGGCCACAGCCAATCACACAGCCGAGGTACTGTGTAGAGACTACATACCCCAGTGGTGCTAACCACCAGCATCGACTCGGATCAGGGGACCCATTTCACAGGAACAGTGTGTCAGGAGGTCTGCCGGTTGTTGAGAATCGACTGGAATTTTCATTGTCCCTATCATCCTCAATCGTCGGGGCAGGTGGAAGGGATGAATCAGATCCTGAAACTGCCGCTGACTAAATAGCACCATAAGGGAATGCCCTGGCCACAGGCATTACCAATAGTCCTGTGTAGTGTCAGAGCTACCCCCAACAAAACAATAGGCCTGAGCCCATTTGAGATAGTGACAGGCAGGCCAATGACGCTACCGGAACAATAGACCCACGAAGGGCCCGACTATCATCTCATGAGCGATGCCCTAATGTCCTACTGTCAGGCACTAACCGATGCTGTAAGTTCTGCTTCCTCACAGGTAGCGGCTTCCTGGACAGACCCGCCGGAGGGAGAGTATGACATTGTACCAGACGAGTGGGTACTTGTGAAGAAGGTCCACAAGGAACCGTTGGATGCGAAGTGGGAGGGACCATACCAAGTACTACTGATCACCCAGTCGGCTGTCAAGGTCCAGGGAAAGAAAGCCTGGACTCACGCTTCCCATATCAAATGGGGACCTGGCGAAACAAAAGAAGCAGACTGAATAGCCACCATGGCGTCTATGATCTTCTTCTCAATTCTGGTTATTACAGCTTTTATGCCATCACATTATTCAGAATTGCATGTTAACACTTACCTCCATATGTCCCACACCTATGCCCAGGCCTTCAATCTGTCCAAATGCTGGATATGCTCCCACGTTCCCATTCACTCCAAAGGGGGATCCCACTTTACCCTATTCCCTTTACTGATTCTGAGATGGATGAGTGGTATGTCCATCAAAACTCTAGTATTAAAGCCTGGAAGTTTGCTAACCATCCCCAGACCCTGTTCTCTGGATGGTACCAGCCTAGTTGTGACCTTACCTACAGTCCTGGCCCTCACTAATACCTTGGGCCAGGGAAGACCACAAGGGTCAACTCTCCAAAACAGGGGCTAGAGATGGCACAGAGCAATTGCTCTCAATACCTTAACGTCACAACCTCACCCAGTCTGCTCAATCATACGAGCAGAGGCATCACCACAATGCAATGGCACCCTGAGATTATTGCCAACTTCACCCATTACAATGGCACTTACTTCAATTGTGATCTTAAAGCATACCCATAGCTCCCTACCTGTTGGCGAGATTCATGCTATCTTGGGATGTAGTCCCACACATATATCACTCCGCTAAATTGCCCAGCTTGAGACGCAAAAGAACCATCTCTGAGACCCAGCATTTCTTTGCCATTGCAATTCCTTTCTATGGTACAGCCAAGCTGGCCAGAGAAGCCAATAACCCAGGCTTTGATGCTGGAAAATGACACATCCTCCACCCTCAGAAGGGTGAACAATGAGATGGTTGCTATTCACACAGTGGCAATCCAGAACCAGATGGCTTTCAATTTTATTCTCGCCGAGAAACAGGCACCAGTGCCCTGATTGGCTCCAAATGTTGCACTGACATCCCGGACAACTCCGAGAGTATTATTAAACTGGCTGACCATATTAGGAAGGAGGTTGAAAAAAATCTGACAATCTCCTCCTTCCTCCCTGTGGAGGTGGACAACAGGATAGGTGGGATCCTTAGGAACATTCATTGTGCAGGGACTCGCCATGACCAACAGTGTTTTAGTTCTAGCCATTTATATTGTCCTCTCTTTTATGAAGTGCGGCTGTTAATATGAGCCATCCCAAACTACGAGCTCTATCCCCGCAGTCTCTTCCAACATCTAAGAGACCCCAATGGTATCTTTAAGGTTATTGGGTGATTCTCTTCAAGGGGTCTCAGTAGAATCAAAGGGGGGAGGGGGTACTGATATATCATAATTCATGTCCACTAATAATTATTCGTGATTGTATCACTGTTCATGATGGCATGTAATATTAACTACAGATTTATGTGTACCAACCACCCCACTCAGACTGTCTCAGAAGTGCATTACCGTATCAGGTTACAATCCACTTCAAGGTATGGCTAGATTCCACTTAAAAGTGCAGTCATGTGTAATGTGCTATGTACACAGCTCCATTTAACAAGGCTGACATTCCACTCAAAGATGAAGTCATGTGTAACGCGCTGTGTACACAGCTCCACTTAAAGCCGCAGAAATATCACAGGATAAAACATTTTTACACTTCCATTCCAAAAGTAGTGCTTTTCATATTAAAACTTAGCCTAGAATAGTGCGATTCCCGACCCCTTACTCTAAACTCCTTGCCAGCCAGCGTGGCTCAAAGAACAAAGAAAATTACAGCAGAGGAACAGGCCCTTCAGCCCTCCAAGCCTGCGCTGATCCAGATCCTCTATCTAAACCTGTCACCTATTTTCCAAGGATCTGTATCCCTCTGCTCCCTGCCCATTCACGTATCTGTCGAGATACATCTTAAATGATGCTATCGTGCCCGCCTCTACCACCTCCGCTGGCAACGCATTCCAGGCACCCACCACCCTCTGCGTAAAGAACTTTCCACGCATATCTCCCTTAAACTTTTCCCCTCTCACCTTGAAATCATGACCCCTAGTAATTGAGTCCCCCACTCTGGGAAGGAGCTTCTTGCTATCCACCCTGTCTATACCTCTCACGATTTTGTAGGCCTCAATCAGGTCCCACCTCAACCTCCGTCTTTCTAATGTAAATAATCCTCATCTACTCAACCTCTCTTCATAGCTAGCCCCCTCCATACCAGGCAACATCCTCCTCTGCATCCTCTCCAAAGCATCCACATCGTTTTGGTAATGTGCCGACCAGAACTGTACGCAGTATTCCACATGTGGTCGAACCTATACAACTGTAACATGACCTGCCAACTCTTGAACTCACTACCCCGTCCGATGAATGAAAGCATGCCGTGTGCCTTCTTGACCACTCTATCGACCTGCGTTGCCACCTTCAGGGTACAATGGACCTGAACACCCAGATCTCTCCGTACATCAATTTTCCCCAGGGCTTTTCCATTTACTGTGTAGTTCGCTCTTGAATTGGATCTTCCAAAATGCATCGCCTCGCATTTGCCTGGATTGAACTCCATCTGCCATTTCTCCGCCCAACTCTCCAATCTATCGATATTCTGCTGCATTCTCCGACAGTCCCCTTCACTATCTGCTACTCCACCAAACTTAGTGTCATCTGCAAACTTGCCAATCAGACCACCTATACCTTCCTCCAGATCATTTACGTATATCACAAACAACAGTGGTCCCAACACGGATCCCTGTGGAACACCACTGGTAACAGTTCTCCATTTTGAGAAACTCCCTTCCACTACAACTCTCTGTCTCCTGTTGCCCAGCCAGTTCTCTATCC